AATTAGTCCATTATTAAATGCCTATAAATATAAAAATGAGTCTATTAAATAATATCTATTAATTTAAACAAAACAAGTTAATTAATGAAGACTTTTGTCCAGAGGTTTTGAACAAATCTCTTCAAAACATTTTAACAGTCAGTCACTACTGGAATAGCCAAACAGTAAATAAAGATCTACAATCTTTGTTTGAAGCCAAACTTTTGCTTAAAAGCTATTTACTTATTTTGATAATAATTTTGAAGGTTTAATAGACAGTGTTGTAGCTGTCATTTAGGAATAATATTGTGTTTGAATCAAGATCGCCATTATTTAATGATAAATCGTGCACACGGAGCTGTAGCCAATGTGTTTTCGAATTTAATATTTGTATGTTAACGAACGTTACCAGTAGGCTAACCCGCGCCCAAGGCCTGGCCGCCCCCCTTTCCCGCGATCCATATAGATATTACAGAATAGAATAGGCCTTGATGGGAATTTGTAAATATGCAAAGTAATTTTTTTTTTAATCCGAAAACTCATAGCCTGCATAATAAATGACAACTACATTTCTTTAATAAAGTAGGCCTACGAATTTATCCGTGGGGGAAAGCGCCGTCCGAATTGTCCTCTTATGGTGTGTTCAAACCGAACGCGAATAGAGCGTCAATACGCGTCTAGTTAGTTAGACGCTTGAATCTGCTTGAGTTCAAATTTTTCAACTTGCGTGGAAGACGTTCGCGGCAAACGCGTCACCCAATTCGCGTCATTCGCGCCGATGCGTCTATTCGTGTCTTTGCATTGACTTTGTAATCTACTCGCGCAAATGATTAAATTAGCGTTCGGTGTGAACACACCATTAATGCATACGTGCCAACGTCATGGTCATATATTTCGAAAAACACAATAAATACTCTGACTACTATAAACACTTGGCACTTGATAGCCTATTCAATGGAAGCACACTCGCTTAATAATTCAAATATACTCTCGTGCAAAGTCACTCATTTCATACATTAACTTGTAGACTACATAGGTGTTCGTAACACGTTTCTAATTGTTGATGCAAAATTCGTAGCAATTCTGAAATTCAGTTTAAAAGTTAGTTTCTTGACCAAAAATGCAATAAACGATTGAGTGTACCTTAAGTTAAAAAAAGTTAAGCTTACCTCTTTTCAGCGTCTTCACATATGTGCTTCACAAAATGGCTCCAATTTTTGGCTGGAAAGGCATCACGGGAAATTGCATATCACGTGGCTCGTATAGGTACTTAAAATGTTATGCTCGATTTACTTAATTTTGAAGTAATTATTATAGTAGTTGACATGACTTATGTTTTTTCATTTTATTTATGCATACATTTAAGTTCACTTAGTTACTTATATTTTTGTGTTACACACACTAAATATGTTAAGTAGAGGTTGAAAAGTTATGAATACTTAATTTTTTGTGTTTAATCTAATTACTTTTATAAGTAATGGTTGTTCAGCCAACGAATCGTTTTTTAGAGTGTATAAGCCTGGGAGAGACTGTTATATACACCATAGCCACGCCCATTCTGGCGGGCCATGACGCAATGAGCGCGCGGGCGCCTCTCATTGGAAGCGGGTTCAGCCCCGCTCTCCCATAGGCTTAAGCAGTTCTCTCTGAGCGAACCAATGAGCTGCTAGCTAGCCTGCTCTAGGTCTGCCGCAGAGGAACTGCGTTGTCAATGGATACAAATTATGAAATAATTTTTTGGCTTCAATATCTCAGCAAAGATGAATCTTTCCCGCAGCGTAAGCTAGCTTACGCAATACTCGTTCCCTCTTCTAGAGAGAACCGAGGTTACGTTAGGTAACCGATTCGTTTTAATATAGCCAGAATTAAAGTACATTTAACGCCACTGAAGAAAATATTATCCAGAAAGGAATACCAGCTTACTTTTTACTGGATACTGCTTAATATTTAAAAAGCTAGTAAAAACACAGCCCATTATGTACTGTCCTAATTTGTTGTCATATGACTCCATCGTGCATTATTGTTTTAATTCGGTAAATAGTAGTAGTTATCACTTTAATGTAAATCCATTTTGATAGTTTTTACACTCCAATTTTTTTTTTTTTTTTTTTTTAGGCAGTCCTATTAAATAAAAACGAAGAATATAAATATAAAGAATAGGATGTTTACAGTTGAGGCTCATATTACTTCTGGTTCATTCATCACACTAGAAATTGAATCATTGTTTTATATTGCCATACTGCATATTTTGACAAATATAGTTTCAATGCATACCGGAAATCTGCATACTGAAAATGCAGCATTATCACACATGCAGTGATAGTGTGCAAAAAACACAGCGGCACGGTAACAAATGGCATCGCAGACACATGACAGATGACATGAAGAGAGTGGAAACGATGTGCAGCTTATCAACAGGATAGAGTGATTCTTTTATCTGCCCAATACAGCAGGATGGACGGGTTGATGAGTGTGAGAGAGCATGAACCTTTCCTCAACCCCAGCAGAGCATGACACATTAAAGATTTACAACCTACACGGCTTATATCCGTCTCTGTGCCTGCTGGTGAGGTTTAAAATAAGTATAGGAAAGCGACTAGACAATCCCTTGTAAAAAACTCTTAACTGAATGTTTATTGGAATTAAATGAAAATATATTATATTTTAAATATATTAAATCCAATCAGCTGAACTTTAAAGGGTTTTTGGACCCACTTAAGTAGGACTTGAGGACATCTTTATATGTGATTTCAAAATTAACTAAATTAAAATTTACAGCTGAATGTACTGACAAGCATTTATAGTATATACTTTAATTTCTATTGAAACTTGCATTTCGTATATTTAAATATATCTGTAATTACACATTTGTAATGATGAAGTTGCAATTTACATTTAAAATATATTAACTTTAAAGGGTTAGTTCACCCAAAAATGAAAATTATCCCATAATTGACTAGCCCTCAAGCCATCCTACAGGTGATATGACTTTCTTCTTTCAGCAAAGCACAATTAGAGTTATATTTAAAAATATCCTGGCTCTTCCAAGCTTTAGAATGGGAGCGAATAGTGCTGGTGATTTTGAAGCCCCCAAAAGTGCATCCATCCATAATAAAAGTAATCCATATGACTCCAGGGGCCTTCTCAAGTGAAGCGACGCGTTTTTGTAAGAAAAAATATCCATATTTATAACTATAAACTCTAATCACTGGCTTCTGGTAAAGGCCGTATTCGAGTGGAAGGACTCGTAATCTGGCGGGAGAGTGACCTCTGACCCCGACACATGACGTATTGACATATTGATGAACACGGGAGCGCAGAGAAAAGAGCAAAACAAGACACTGGACACGAATTAGAAGTCTAAAATGAGAATTTTTAAAGAGAAATGTCTGAGGAGCTTGAATTTGTTGCCCAGCCCTGTTTGTTTGAACCACGAGAGGCGTCTACTCTCAGCCAAAGGTCGCGTTAACTGAAAATTTTCCGTCATTGAAGGATTTTTTTTAGCAGTGATCGGAAAAAGCTGTCCGTCATTTTGACATTCTAATAGTCATGTGTTGTAATCTGTAACTGTAATTCTGCGCTCTTGCTGACTATCAAGTTATTGGTCATTGAAAGTCTTTTCTGAGTTACGTGACATTGTTTAAGCTGTTTTATTGACTTCTTTCTGCAGTTGAAACACTGATTGAATGATTACATAAGATGACATGATAATGATTTCGGTAAGTTGTTCTAAGTTGTTCTGTACCTCTCAATATGTTTTTTGATGTTCATTCATGTTTATTTCGTTCAGTAACGTACTGAATGGATGATCCCTTTCACTTGAGCTCTGCTTTGCTTAAATTAAGACGATCAGTGATCTCTCGCGCCACATTAAATAAAGCCAAAATGGCATTTATTGTTAGAATTTTGTGATAAAACAGACAGAATTTGAAAGCTGATACTTTGTTTCACATCAAAAGTACAAAGCACAAAGATTATTGCGATTAACTGGACAAACATTCATGATGAAACCTGAAAAGTGACCCACAGTCTCTGTTCAACTTTCTCTTCATAAATAAATGCATAATCTAGCCTATATGCTTCTCCTGTAAGTTTGTGTGTACAAATGAAAATGTGAACAAAAACAGAGCCTATTAAATGGCTTATTATAATTAAAATATAACAATTCAAATGACGGGTAATAATAATGATGGAATTTTTACGACCCTGTAAAATATTTGAAATCGCCAATGAAATCTGACAACAACTGACTCATTAATTAAGTTTCTAAACACTCAAATCATGACAAAAAAAATGCATTTTTCAGGCTGGACCAGCCAATGCCCATGTGCTCGTCTCAGAACACTGACTGTTTCTACAGCAAAAAGGAGCTTCTAACGGCAGCTGCAATGACTTTACTAATCTGCGATTGGCTCTTTTATTTAGAAGGCGGGTCTTATTCCGCCATATTGCGCGTCCCCTTCACAGTAATACGTGTGCACCATCTTTGTATATCTAAAGTTTTTGGTTCTACTTACATTTGATAGCAATGTAACTTATGGGAATTATATAATGCAGTCAGGTTTAAAAAAAATATAGATGAAATAGATACTATTATATATGTAACATCAACAGACGCAAAGGGTCATTAATATAAATGTACATCTTGAAAGCCCTTTCATCAATAACAGCGACCGAATGAATGATTTACAGTACAAGATTTTACAACGCACTGTGTAACTTTAAGGCAAAACCCAGAGGCAGGAGTGGATGTTGCAGGTACATAAAAGTGCTCAATACTCATCTATCATATAGAAGCTGAATATCTGCATAGCATCAGAGCTTTTGACATCTGGATTAAAGGTAGCTTGTGTTCACAATTTATGTATTTGATTTGTTATAAAACAAACGCTACAGTGACAGAGTACTGTTGTCTGCCAACTCTCCAACCGCAAAAACACACTGACTGCTTCACTAGCGCTGGCTTCCATCAGTCTTCCCGACGCAAACACACTCATCCCACGTGGCTCCAGATAACTTACTCTTCATTCTCGTACAAGTACTTCACAATCACCCACGGCAGTACGAATATCAGAGGGGCGCCTGAGGGAGAAAGAGAGAGAGAGAGAGTTTGTGAGATGAGGCATAAACCATCTGCCGTGCTCTGTATGAGGAAACTCTTCAACCCTGTTAATGAGTTCACGGCGTAAAAGCTTTGAACCTCTCACCCCAGCCAATGCACAGGTAGATGCCGAAGTAATTTCTCTCTGTCAAGACTGTGACGACCAGAAGGCTGTGGAGGTAGATGCCCTCCACCAGCAGCCAGTAGCTGTTAGCAAGTATGCTGTATTGCATCATCACCACAGCAACTCTGCAGCCGACGGCCGTCTGAAACACATACAAGTTGACGTGTTTTTTGGGTCACTGAAAGCCTTAGGCTAAATTTGAACCTGCCGCCTCTATTCAGTAAACAGGTATTTAAGCCATATCTATACAAACATGCATTTCAAGGAATATTCCCAGTCATTCCTGGTCATGGACGGCATTTTAAACAGCATAGAGTTTAAAAGCAGAAAGCAGAAGCTGTTTATTAAAGCACTTCCATGAAATCTTCATTACGTTAAATGCACAGTATGCATGTTAACATTAGTTAGCTATCACAAACTAACAACAAACAACTATTTTACAGCATAAATCTTATGACATTTCTATGTTTGTTATATAGCGTTTCATTTTTAACAAGAATCATGTTATATATGCTGAATGTAGTTAATATATTAGTAATAATTCTGCAGTTAGTTTTAGGGACACTAATTCAAACTAATTGCATTACATCTATCCTTTAAAAGTGGAATGGTGCTTTTAGTACTTTTTTCTATAAAACCATCCGACAGGAAAAGAAAGTTCCCTTAATTGAAGAATTCAGAACATGCTGTCCATATATATTAAATTGTAAATAACCCTGAAATAACTTTCTTTAAAGTAATTACAGTTGAGGACAGAATTATTGACACCCCTGGTAAATATGAACAAAGATGGCTGTAAAAATAAATCTGCATTGTTCATTCTTTTGATCTTTAATAAAAAAAAATTTGTTTGCAAAAATCTAACCTTTCATTGAAGTAAAATAATTGAAAGTGGGGGGAAAATCACATTATGAAATAAATGTATTTTCTCCAAAACACCTCAATTATTGCCAGAGTAAAATATCTCTTAAGTATATTCCCATTAATATTGAAATTTTTAGCACACCATGGTGACTAGGAACATGAAATTGTCCAGCCATGACTTCCTGTTCCACAGGAGTATGAATATGACGAAACACAAAGGCCAAATTCCCTTAATCATCCATCACAATGAGTAAAAACAAAGAATATAGTTTTAATTTGCTGCAAAAGATTGTTGAGGTTCACAAAATAGAAAGTGGCTGAATTGAAAATCCCCATTTTGACCATCAGGGCAATAATTAAGAAGTTCCAATCAACTAAAGATGTTACGAATCTGCCAGGAAGAGGACGTGTGTCTATATTGTCTTAATGCACGGTGAGGAGGAGAGTTTGAGTGGCCAAAGACTCTTCAAGGATCACAGATGGAGAATTGCAGAGATTAGTTGAGTCTTGGGGTCAGAAAGCTTATAAAAAAAAAAATCGAACAACCACTATATCACCACATGTTGTTTGGGAGGGTTTCAAGAAAAATTCTGTGGTCAGATGAAACTAAACTAGATGGGTTTGGTGCAAACAGGGATAAAAAGTGCCCCATGCCCACGGTTAAATATACAGCTGGATATTTAATGTTGTGGGCCTATTTTTTTTGCTGGAGGTCTTGCACATCTTGTTCAGATACATGTATTCTAGCAAATACCACTAAATCAAAGCCTGGCGGCTTCTTCTAGAAATCTTATTATGGACCGTGATTGGATCTTCCATCAAACATCAAAATCAACACAAAAATGTGTCACTGAGCACAAAATGAAGCTTCTGCCATGACCATCCCAGTCCCTGACCTGAACCCTAGAGAAAACTGAAGAGAAGAAGCGCCAACATGGATCTGGGAATCTGAAGGATCTGGAGAGATTCTGTATGGAGGAATGGTCTCTGATCTCTTCTTGGGTGTTCTCCAAACTCATCAGGCATTATAGGAGAAAACTCAGAGCTGTTATCTTGGCAAAAGGAGGTTGCAAAAAGAATTTAATAAAAGGGTGCCAATAATTATGGCCAACGTGTTTTGGAGAAAAACATTTATTTCATAATGTGATTTTCCCCCCACTTTTTTTTTCTTTTTTTTTTACTTCAATGAAAGGTTAGATTTTAGCAATTTTTTTGAATGAAAGATCAAAAGGATAAACAATGCAGATTTATTTTTTACAGCCATCTTTGATCATATTTACCAGGGGTGCCATTAATTCTGATCACAACTTTCCATAGGCATAGGACTATTAAAAATGTCCACGAATCCAGAGATATACACTACTGTTCAAAGGTTTGGGTTAGTATTTTTAATTTTTTTTTTAATGAAATGTACACTTTTATTCAACACTTTCATCTTTCACAACACTTAATTGGATGTTAATTCCAATTCAAATGAAAATGTATTTTAGTTTAAATTTACATTATAGGCAATTAGTTAAACTTTATAGTGCTTTTTGAGCTTTAAATTCAATAAAGAATCCTGAAGAAACACTGTAAAAATGTCTAACCTCCCAACTCGAAATTTTCTAGCGACTGGTCACATCTAAATTTTTCAATTGGCCCAAGTGAAATTCTGCAAATTGATAAAATTGGCAGAAGTTCACAATTTTGAGTTGGGGAGGTTAGAATTTTTTTTTTACAGTGAATGTATCACGGTTTTCACAACAATATAAAGCAGCACAACTGTTTTCAACACTGATAATAATCAGAATTGTTTCTTTAAGCATCAAATCAGCATATTAGAAGAAATTCTGAAGGATCATGTGATACTGAAGACAGTAGTTAACAGGAATAAATTACATTTGAAACTTTATTCAAATAAAAAATGGTTATTTGAAACTGTAATTTGAAATGCTCGGTGAGCAGAAGAGACTAAAACATTGAAAAAACTTTTGAACGGTAGTGTATTATTATCATTTCATAACAAATCATAAAGAAAGACAGCAGGTTATTGGACCTCGTTTTTAACCAGCCACTCCACCTCCAGTTCAGTGGTGATGTCCTGACCAACATGGAAGGTATCAGGCCTTTCCAACATGGCATCTTTGATAAGGATAGAAGAGGCTCGCAGGATAAAGGAGGCAAACAAGTTCATGTGGATGTTGTTTCTCATGCAGTGCAGCTTCCTACAGGGACCAACGAGCAACGAATGAAAAGTCAGAAAGCTGTTCACAAAGAAAACCAACTCCTTAACCATAAACGCTTTCAAAGATCCAAAAACTGATGCAAAAACACGTTTTCAATTTAAAATGTAAGCAGAAGGAATAGATGACTTGAATGTTACCTAAAGGCCACAAGGATGCCCAACGCCAGCACCAGCGCCCCGAGAGACAGAGAATATCCAACGGTGTACATGGTCCGAAACTGACTGAGGATCCGTCCGTAGTGTTGCTGCACGCAGACATACAAACACATCTGATCAGATTTATTAAATGCACACAAATTATTAATATACCAGTCTCTAAAGCAACTTCTAAATGAGCATGCAGGTTCAATTCTTTGTTGATAATATGTCTATGTTTATACAGTATGATCGCAGTTCACACAGCATCAGAATTCAGTTGTCAGACCTGTATTTGAGTCTTCAGTACGGTTACGTTCACACACAGTTCAGTTTTTTACAGGAGTTTCAATCACATTCTACAACCGAACTCACACCCGTAAATTTTCAGGACTCACAGCCGCATTCCCAGAAAACCCGCAATGTGTGAACGGAACCGGACTGGACAACTAGTTAGTGACTAAATTTAAAAAGACATTTTGGTAACAACTTTAGGTAACACTTTACTTGAAGGGGTGTGCATAAGACTGACATGACACCTTCATAATCATGACATGACATATGTCATTAATATGAAGTAGGGTTTATGCATGTTTATGACAACTGTCATTAAGTGTCTTTCGCTCAATAATGATATTTTGAATGCAAATATGACATTGTTTAAGATGTCTTTGTTAAGACATCTTGACATAAACCAATACATCATAACCTGTCAGTGTCTTTGTCATGACAACTTGACATTAAATTAAGTTAAACTGTCATGTGGTTGGTTTTGACATTGGCTGTCATGAGGCCATTATAACTGTGTCGTGACCTCAACTACAGTGGTACAAATTGAATTTGTCATTAAAAAGTTATAATGGCTTCATAACAGCCAATGTCAAAACCAACCACCTGACAGTTTAATGTAATGTTAACCAATAAAGCTAAGTGGTTTCTTAAGTTTGATAATTAATCTGCTATGTCATGTTTATGACAGGTTGTGTTGTCTTAGTAATGTCAAGTTGTCATGACAACAACACTGACAGGTTATGATGTATTTGCTTATGTCAAGGTGTCATAACAAAGACATTTCAAACAATTTCATATTTGCATTAAAAATGTCATAATTGAGCGAATGACACTTAATGACAATTGTCATAAACATGCATACAACTTCCTTCATATTCATAACATGTGTCATGTCATGATTATGAAGATGTCATGTTAGTCTTATGCACACCCCTTCAAGTAAAGTGTTACCCAACTTTACAATAAGGTTTCATTTGTTAAGATTTGTTTACTACATTAGTTAACCACTGTAAAAAGTGATCAGTTGACTTAACTTAAAAAAAGTGAGGAAAACCGTTGCCTTAAAATTATTAAGTAATAAACCTCACACGTAATTGAAAAAAATAAGTTATGTGAACTTGACAATTCCACATAACTTAATTTTTTCAATTACGCATGAAGTTCATCTCATGTGCCTACATACACCACTTTGTCGATGACTGTGTTGGGCTGTTTTGTATTTCGTTGTTTTTGTTTTGTTTTTGTGCTTTTTCTCTCTTCTGTATTGTATATGCGTGTCACTGATTTCTTACCTTGTATGTGTTACTGTTTTGGTAATTTGCAATAAAAATAAATAAAATAATAATAATTTACGCATGAAGTTTATTTGCTTTAAAATTTTAAGGCAACGGGTTTCCTCACTTTTTTTAAGTGAAGACAACTGATCACTTTTAATGAAAAATAATAAAGCATTATTAATCTTAGTTAAATGTTAATTTCAACATTCACTAATGCATTGTTAAAATCTGAAGTTGTATCTGTTCATATTATTTAATTGACCTGAGCTGAACAACGAACAGGATTTTTTAACTAATGTTTACTACGATTAATAAATACTATAACAAACGATTATTAATTGTTAGTTAATGCATTTAAAGTGTTACCAACATTGCTTTTTAAGACACAAACTGTGTAAAACTAAACTGCATTAATGCTGAAATAAAATGCCATTTTAGCTCAAACTTTTACATCGATCTGCAGTCGGGCTGAATTGATAATAGTTGCAACCAGTCAGAGCCAGTATGCAGATTTTGACAGATTTCACACGACACATGTCTGATATTTTGTGGCGACTTTAGAGGGGAATCTGTGTGTAGAATTTAAAAGTTGTTTAGTGTATTCCCACCTTTAGTGGTGCAGAAATGAACACAACTGATCTTAAAAAAATTTTTAAGATCTTATAGATATTTATTATAACAATCACTTATTTCTCACATACCATGTTGATTTGCGTGGGGTCACGTGACAGACATTCGCTGGCGTTCTTCTGCTTGCTATACTGTCCGTCTGCATCACACTCCAGATACACGAGCCCATGTCGAACTGACACACAAACACGTTCACAGATGGAGTGGTCACACAGGGTGCATAAGAGAATACTCCATGTGGAGAAATGTGTTAAATTAGTGGAAGAAGATGAGCTAAGCTAAAAGAAGTGCGTTATGCAAACTGCAGCCACACATAATACATTTTTCATCATTGAAATTGCTACAATCATATTTAATGTCAAGCTTGAACAAGTGTAACTAGATCTTAAGTTTGATTTATGCTTTTTGTAGCCTGAAAACAATCCTTTGTAAACTACCCCTTTTTAAGCAATTGTTGCAATGTAAATAATGCTTAATAGTCCTAAAATAAACAAATGTAAATGTTATATTTACAGTACCTTCCTTGTGCCAGGGCAGGTACCAGGGACAAGCCACACTCACTGTAGTATTGGGCAGAGCATCCGGCCAGCAGGCGTACTTATCAAACGTTCGGTTGCACACGACACCTGGAAAACAACCATTGATGTTAAAGTCTACTAGTCTTTGCTTGCTGTGCTGGACAGGATCTGTATGTGACATGAGTCCTAATCTGAGGGCTCAGCAGTGTTTTCTAACACACATACCTTAACAGCACTGTGCAGTTTTATCATCGCTGAACTTACACACCAACTGTGACTCAAGCAAAGCCTTATGAAGGACAATAACAAATCACCTGTCATTGGCGGTTCTCTGCTGATATTTCGAAAACATTCATCTCGGTACATCATCCATCTTGCCATCAAAGTTTTGAGGGATACAGAAGATGACACCTGTAAGATCCAATAAGTTAATTAATTTTTCTATAAAACATTAAAGAAATTAGCTAGCAGAATTAGGGTTAGGGTTAGGGTTACTAACCCTACTTTGTAAGAATGTGGCAAATGTTTACTTTAAAGTACATTTTAATTATTTATGTTTTAATCGTTTTTGTCATGAGTTAAAAAGTACACTTATTTTGATGTGTTGACTAACATATAATCACATGTAAAGTAGGGGAGAGCGGGTACAACGCTTTTGGATTTTCTCAGTTTGTGTAAATCTACTTAGGGTTCAGAGTATTTTTTCCCCCACATGTCAAGTACAATTATGTGGTGTTGTTTTTCTTACAGTGTATACTTTTTTTCTTGATATACCCCGAAAGAATGGATGTGAAATGTGACAACATGCCCCATAGGTGGGGTACACTGTAACATGTGATGGGCACATTGTAACTTTGAATTACAAAGGGCTTTGAATATCTGATCTAATCAAACAAATATACAAGACAAACTAAAACATTTTCTCAAAATACAATTATTAACTTTTTCATAATACAATAATGGCATTTTTTTATAATTAAAAAAATAATAATAATTGACAACGAAAACACAGGAAACAGCTATTCAATAATGTTCAAAACATAATAATGAATAATTTCTGAACATTGACTCTCAGTCTTTATTCACCTTTTTCTCATGTTTTCTCAATAGAATTCATAAAAGTACAGAATAGAATAGCATAGTTCTAATAGTAACGCAGTGTTATAACGTGCCCCAGCTGCACAACTGGGATTTAAACCCTGCTAGTGTCTTCTGCTAGTTAGCAAAGCATTAAAGAACCATATCAACTGTTAAATAACATATTGGAGATTAAAATAATATCAGATTTGTCTAATTTAAAATAAAACACCAAAAATAGAGATGGAAAATTAACATAAGTAAGAAAAATGTACTTTTTACGGTTAAATAAATGTTCAGTGATATCTTCCAAATAATTCTGAATTTTGGCACAGTTTTTTTCTCTATATAGTGTTGATACGGCTAGTAAATACAATAATTTCCGTCATGCTAGCATGTGTGGAAGTATTTAAAACAAGGGTGTTACAACTAGCCCCGCGTTACGTTGTGCCCCGCCTGATTATAATTTGAACGGTACTGTGATAGTTTGTTACTTTTAAAGTTACTAAATTGCAACTTTGTAATTACAAATATATTTAAATACATGACATACAAGTTTCAATAGAAATTACGTTAAAGTATATTTTAGTTTACCGTAAGTCCAATTTAAGTGGGTCAGCTAATTGCATTTAGTACAAAGTACAACACATTTTTATTTAATTGCAATTAACATTCAATTAGGTGTCGGAAAACATAACACTCATTTTAAATATTCTCTTAAAGTATATTATTTCCATATTAAGTATGCTGAAAGTGCTATCTTTTTCACCAAAGGGCTAGTCAAGCCCCTGTTCGGGAGACAGGTTGGGTGACCAGATGTCCAGATAAAATTAGGACAGTCCCGATTATACGAGCCATGCCTTACGTCCTGATGGAGCTACAGGGCGACATTTCTCCTGATAATTCGTTTTAGCTTTAGTCCGATTGTATAAAAAAAATGCTTTAAATTGATATTGGTAACAGTAAGTATTATACAAAGAAGTGTCCAACCACTGATTCCTCTTCAGGATACTGAGAGCTGCGTAACAAACATGCAGTGACTGCACAAATGACAGAATCATTTTTCCACGGTCGTCTGGTCACTTTAAGAGATGGTGAGAGAATAGAGGGAGGAGGGGGAATAATCTCTGACCTGGATGCAGGAGGAGAAACTGAGTAGGGTCAGAAGGAGGAATACTTGTGACATCCCTTAGTCCTGCTGCTGCTGGCACTGGGAGGGGAGCCGAGGGTCCAAAGGGATACGCTCACCTCATAGGAAGGCTTCAGCTGTCACCACACAACCTAAACCACAGACAGACAGAGAGCCAGAGATCAGCATGTTATCAAACAGCAAACCATGATCTGTGATACAACATTTAGTCTATTCAAAATTGTGATTTTAAAAATACCTCATTAAGCAAAAAGTACACACTATAAGTGAAAAATAAGGGTACGTTTACACGACAACGATGTACTAAAAAGAGAAAAGGTTTTCCTTTGCGCTTTTCACGTGCATACGATACGCCAAGGATCCGCGAAATTGACTGAAAACGCTGTATTATTCCTGCCAGGCCAGTAGTTGGCGGTGTGACTTTGTAAAGAAACACTACGCATCTCTAGACTGAACACGTAATACGCATCACATGATGTCACCGTTTTCACAAATTCGCATTTTTGTACGAAGAGACAAAGAACGGCCAAAACGCATACAATGAATATAGAAAGCTAACAATATAAAATGATCAAAACACAACATGATATTTTGCCAATTTTCCCCATCGCCACTCCCAAAACAAGACTGGGAACCAGAACTGATGTTGGCTCTTGAGTAATAATGCGAGAAGTGTGGGCCTCATTGGCTCCCTAAACTTATTTCACTGTTTGCTAAATGTAAGCAATCAGGATAGCATACGGGACAAAGAATGTTTACAGTGCAATTAAGACATGGACTACTGGTCGACAGTATAAAAACAACAGGCTCATTATCCCAGAGTGAAGAAGCCTCTGGGAAAAGGAAGGTCACAGACTGTTGACCATGTCACTGTCTTTGCTCCAAGCTCTTGCTCGCGTGATGAAGCAGTTAGTTGTGGATAGGGTACACTAACACTTACACTGCATCCAGCTCAATTACTTGTGTGGTTTAGAGAGAGGTGATGTTAGAACAGAACATGATGGTAACAGATATGATCACAGTACATATATAGACTCTAGTAAGCTCACCCAAACATTATAACTCTGTCACCATTTACTCACACACATGTTGTTTCAAACCTGAATGACTTTCTTTCTTCTGTGGAATACAAAATAATACATTTGTAACCAAACTGTTCTGGTCACCATTGACTTTGTATTGACAAAAAACACTGAGATATTTCTCAGAATATCTTCTTTTATGTCCCCCCCCCCCCCCCCCCCCCCCCCCCCCCCCGAAAAAAGAAAGCCAAACGCATTTGGAGCTACATAAGGGTAATGATGACAGATTTTTTTCTTTTTGTGTGAACTATCCTTTTTAATGCATCATAGGCAAGATAACTTCAGAAGGATGCAATGCCAGAATGTACTGCAATGAGCCCAGTTAAAAAAATGGGATGTTGACAATAACATACTATTACTCTTTTTAAGTCGTGTGCTAGTATGCTATTCCAAATCCATAGTGTACATACAAAGACAACACAAAAATGGTTTAATAAAAATGTCAATCTAATTACAATATAACAGTTTTACTAAATATTCAATTGTACTGTGTATTTCAGACTGTTACTGTACTTTAGCAACATGCTAAGAGCAAACTACTGAAATCAGTTGGGTTTTCACATACTACTTGTGACATGCAGGTTCTGTTTCAAGTATGATGCTGCCTTTGTAGTAAACAGCAAGGTGCTGTAGCTCACTGATGTTGGCAAAGTGTAGTAACAGTTACTCACCTGGTTACTGATCCACATCCCACCCCTACTTCAGCTGTAGTCGGAGAACAGAACGAAATCTGAAACGTTTCTGCAAAAAACACCTTTACCATGGAAACATTTTTGGCTAAAACGTTTCAAATTCCATTCTGTTCCAGTCTGGGCAGGTTGGGACAGACATGCCACTGAAATGATCTTTCGACCTTATTGTGGTGAATACACAAAAATAACCAACAGCAAAACCAGCCGATAGCTCCGGAAATAAATAAAATAAAAATTACATCAATTTGACATTATTTCTTTTAAAATTGCATCCGATGGCAGTTGCTCTGCTGTCAGATGACACCTTCTGGAAATACACAATTTAAACTCTGCAGAATGTTTTGAGTCAATTATATATATATATACAAAAAGGAAAAAAGGAAAACAAGAAATCTTTAATTTTGTTGATTTTAATTAATTTGCCCTCATAATTTTTTTAAATAACTTCCCCTCCCTTGCAGCAACATCTCTTCTCTTGTGATGTGTTTACTGGCATGAGGGTGGGACAACCTGTCACTCACATGACATCGGCCAATAGCAAACCACAACTTTACACCCATCTAATCAATTCCCCATGGATAAAATCAAGTACTGCCCTACATTTTTTTTTTCTTGTTTGAGAAGCTGTTTCTCTTGGATATACATCACAATAGGGAAGAACAAATCTGTTGTGTTCATGAGAAGAATTGTACATTGTTGACTACTATTTTGAAGTGTCGTGTAATGATGTAATGTGTGTGAGAACGGAAGTGAACAAGATGGATGAAGTTTACTACTCCTATCCTATGTGCTATTGTTTAATAATTCCTGACAGATGCCACACTATCCCAGTTTCATGTCGATTTAAGAATGGTGATTTAACGACTGACACTTTTGCAGAGGTTTTAAACTTTAATAACACTGTGCATTCATGGTAACCATGCTACTACAGATTCAGTATCATTTTTTAACTTCACGCTAAGTAGAACATGTTGTGGTTATTAAAAACAGCAGTTAAGACGGTTCATGGAGAGGTACAGAACAATTAGAGTGACACATGCCCGAAGCTTTTCATCCGCACACCCCATCCACCGCTGGACGCTCAGGATGGTCTGTCAGTGAAATGAGCTTCCGCAACATGGCACAGGACAGAAACAATTAGAGAGGATTCTGCTATTACAATCCTTATCTAAATGCTATGGTTTTGATGATGAGCATACAGAGCAAGGGCCAAAAGACTGAATCAGTGTGAAATTAATTTCTGCTCTTGCATCCTAAGTGAGCTGCAGGGCAAAAAAAATAAAAATTATCAGATCATAATCAGTTTTTTAGGCTTTCATTAAAAAATATCCAAACATCCTTAAAACATGATGAATTTACTTGAATTGTTAAAATGTATTTTCTATTGGCAGGTAAGTTAATATATATATATTTTTTTTTGTTTTTTTGGGCAGTGGAACATGACACTATCTGTCAAACACCTCTGACACTTTGAGAAAAAGGTCAATGGGAATTGGTGAGTGGAATTTGCTCAAGGGAACCTCCTCATTCACTCCTCCACCTACATTTTTACTTCTGGTATTGAGCATCGAACCGGCAACCTTTGCGTTACAAGTCTGACTTTCTAACCATTAGGCCACAACTGCCCACAAATTTGCCCACAATTTTATCATCCCGGTCCTTCTGTGATGCACACGGACAAGGTGGCTAGAGCTGAGGGTGATACAAATGCAACAGGAGTGTTTCCGCCAGGTCAATCTCCACCGGCCTCCTGTTTGTCCCTTGTATTGCATGTTATGCCCGATTGAGTTCCCGAATGACTTTGACATTGTGTCACATGGCGCACCTGATTTCTCACTTGGGGCTCCAGATTAGGACAATAGCACCATCAGAGGGTGGGGTTATTGCCTTCTGACGCTGAGGACTCGGCTGGAGTCCCACCCTAGGGTGTGGTAGCTCAGTCTGAGTCTGATGCAGAGTTGGCAGCCATATTTGCCCTGGCCATCGAAAACATGGAACTGGAGAGGGATCCTCCATCCTGTCCCGAGCGTTCGTGGCTCCCCTAGGATGATTGATATCTGGGCTCGGAATGTGACTCACAGCCATGCCTTTCTTCCGGGAAGTGTATGAAGAACTGACAAAGTCATGGAGGGCATCTTTCACTGCCCAATCCTACTTCACAAGCTCTAGTTCTGAGACGGGATTGATGCAGGAACTATGCTTGGCAACTTTACTCTCAGCCAGAGCTCTTGCTCCTTGGAACAGCCCTTCTCTGGTGAATTCCCCTGAGGAAGGACCTTCTTTGTCAGGGATGGGGCACAATCTGGCACCTACACTCAGACCTCAGGAACCTCCATGTCTGGCCTCTGGACAGGATGCGGAAGACTTGAGTGGGCTATCACTAGCGGTTATAGACATCAATTCAGGCTAGAGCCCCCTCTACGAGGCGTGCCTATGGCTTGAAGGAATCTGTTCCCCCAAGGCGAAGACCCACAGAGATGCGCAGTCGGGTCATTGATTTCTTTCCTGCAGAAGAGATTGGAAATGCGCCTTGAGTTCTGTCTGGAATACTCTCACGTGATCCCGAGACCCCAGCCGGGCTACGTGCAAATTTCCACTACCCTTTTAGGGACCAAGTGGTGAGCTTGCAAGCACTGCCTCTGGATGAGGCAGACTCAGCTTTGTCATTGCTGTGTCCAGTATACACCCTGTGTAACGTGGTGCGGTTGAAGCAGAGAAGAGGCTGGATCCAAGTGCAGCACACGCATTATTTAACAGACTACAAACTATAAAGACTAGACTGGATACAAGACTCGGGACTCAGGAACAGGATACAGGAACAACCAACACTAGCGTTAAACATTAAACAAGAACTCACAAAGACAAGGTTGAAACACAGGGCTTAAATAATCAGGGACAAACGAGCTAGACAAGATAACAAGGGGGCGTGAGAAATCAGAAACACCTGGGATAACTAATAGACAAGACAGAGAACCAACGAACATGACAGGACACAAACCCACATCGTGACACCCTGCGTGTTTACTTTGGGCCACACGCAGAGCTTCAAAGCTCTGAGCAGTTCCTTGTCTGTTTTGGGGGACAGCTAAAGAGGGAAGGCTGTCTCCAAACAGAGGATGACCAATTGGATTGTGAATGCCATTGCCTTGGCATACCAGGCCCAAGGCGTGATGTGCTCCTTAAGAGTGCATGCACATTCCACAAGAAGGGTTGCATGCTACTGGGCTCCAGCAAACGGTGTCTCTCTAAATGATGTTTTATAAACAAGGTTCGGGAGGAGCACGTTCAAATAAATCATTCCAATCAACTCGTCACCAAACTATTACATGTCTACCCTATCAGCACGAGAGGAAGCAT